TCTCCCGGTAGTCCAGCTTGCCATCAGGCAGCGGGGCTCGCAGCGGCTCCTTCTTCAGTGAGTGGTAGGGGGGGGGGGCGCCGGGGGCTTTCTTGGGGTACTGTGGCGCGGGGCTGCCGCCAGCTGGGAGCGGGGGGCTGTCGGGCTGGTTCAGGGCGTCCCGGATGCGCCCCACGCCGAGGTGCACGAGCTCGCAGAGGTTGAGGAAGAGGCAGAGCCCGCTGACGGCGTACATGATGAGGAGGAAGATGGTCTTCTCAGTGGGGCGGGAGACGAAGCAGTCGACGGTGTGCGGGCAGGGGCTGCGGCTGCAGACGTAGGAGGGGCTCACCTCGAAGCGGTACAGCAGGTACTGCCCGAAGAGGAAAGCTGTCTCCAGCAGCGAGCGGCACAGCAAGTGCAGGACGTAGGCACGCATCAGCCCATCCTGCTTGATGCGGCGCCGGCCATCGTGCTTCTCTCCACCCTCTGGGCTCTTCTCCTTCTCCACCTCGATCTCCTCAAAGATCATGGGGTCTTCTTCGTTATCGTCCTCTGCCTCCTCGTAGTCCCGCCCGGCTCCCCGGCGCACCACCGGCATGCGTTCCCGCCGGGCTGCCAGTGCCCGGCGCCGTGAGGACTCAGGCATGCGGGCAATGCGGTGCATGGCGAATCCCAGGTAGAGCACCGACGGCGTGGCCACCATGATGATCTGGAAGATCCAGAAGCGGACATGGGAGAGCGGGGCAAAGGCGTCGTAGCAGACGTTCTCGCAGCCCGGCTGCTGTGTGTTGCAGACGAACTTGCTCTGCTCGTCGTAGTAGATGGACTCGCCCCCCACGGCCGTCAGCACGATGCGGAAGACAATGAGGACAGTCAGCCAGATCTTGCCCACGAAGGTCGAGTGGTTGTTGATCTCCTCCAGGAGCCGCGTCAGGAAACTCCAGCTCATCCTGGCCAGGCAGTTGGCTCAAACCCTGCAGGGAAGGAGCAAAGCAATCAGGCACTGAGCAAATCCACATGCACCTCACCGGGCCCCCCCAAATCACCAGCCACCACCCCAGCTCTGCCTCTCTCCCTCTCATAGCACCGACATCCCTTCCCTTACCACAAACACAGCCCTGTGCGGGCAGTCATCTCCCCAGAACCCCGTCCCCTGGCCAGCGCTGCCTCCCAGTGCTCCCGTCCACACCCTCCTCCAGCCCCACCACCAGCCAGGTGGGTGGAGGGGACCCAGGGAGCAGGGGCAAGGCTGGGACGTCCCTGTCCCCTGCAGGACTCATCTGGGGGAAGAGTCAGCACAGCCACAGCCAGGGTAAACACAGCAGCACGGGGCAGTGCCAGCTGGGGAGGGCGAGGGACAGGCAGGGGACAGAACCACCTCCTCCACCCCCGGTGCCACGGCACCCGTCTGCCACCTGGACTTGGGCAGGTCCCCAATCGGCACCATGCCCTGCGCCAGCACCCACACCCTCCCACGGGGGTCCATGGGCCCCTGGAGGAAGGCAACACACAGGCAGCACGGCAGCCCCTCTGGCCCATTACGGCTGCCAGCCCCGAGCCCCGGCCAAGGGGGCTCCCCTGAGCAGCATCCCCCACCACGTACACACAAGCCAGGTCCTCTGCACCCCGCAGAGCTCTCCCTCAAGGGCCGGGAGAGATGCAGCATCACTCTGCCCCACCAAACCTCCACGCTGTGCCCACCCTCCTGTGGGACCCACACCCCCCAAGCCCGCGGTGGCCGGTGCTCAGAGCACCCAGCAGCCCGATGGCAAGGGCTGGTGGGGGAAGCGGAGCAGGAAGGAGAACGATGGCAAGGGACAGTGTGGAGTAGCCAAGGAATTGCACAAAGTCCCAGTGAAGCAGCTGACACCAGAGGTCGGGAAGGAAATTACGAGGACCGTGCCGCAGCTCCCGGCCAAAGGAGAAGACACAAGAGGAGACACCCCACCACCACCCCTGGTTTCGGCAGCTTGCGCAGGAGCTGATGCAAGGGCGGCAGGTGGCAGGGCTGCCCGGGGCGAGCAGAAGCGATGTGTCCCCATGGAGCCCCAGCCTTACCCACGCCTTGCCTGCCCTCCAGCCAGCCCTGTCCCATCGCCTCCGGCCAGGGCACGTCCCTGCGGACGATGGCTCCCGCTGCACTCACGCCACTATTGTCCAGAATAAGAGGATCTTTTTGGCTCAGCTCAGCCTGCCTCCCGAGCAACCTCGCCTAAACAGAAAAGCCGCCCCCAGCACAAGCACCCACGCCCAGGACTCACTCCCGCTGATGGCCTGGTGCTCGGCACAGCCTGCTGAGCTGTGGGAAGTGGCACGAGCTGGCACCAGGGACCCAAACCCAGCCCATCAAGGCCACCATCCTCCTGTGGTTGAGCACCCTGCAAGGTCTCGCCGCAGCCCCATGTCCCCGGCGTGTGGCCCTCTCCCCCAGGACCCCACTGTAAGGATGCTTTGTGTCTGTCTGCAGTTAGCCCTTGCCTGGCAGCAGCGCGTCGCTCTGGCCCCAGGGTGAGGGGCTGGGGCAGCGGACATGACCTGGGGACCAGGCAGGAGCGCAGCCCCCGGAGCTGGTAAGCCCAGGGAAAGCGAAAGCACACACGTGGGCACTGCCATGGTGGCCAAGGACAGGTGACACAGGGACGGACCACAGCGTGGGTCAGGAGCTGCAGTGGGCACGGCCGAGGCAGAAGAGAGCTCCCCGCACCCTTTGCCCGGGCCCAGGGCCGGCAGCCAGAGCCCAGCTCTCTGCCGAGGGGGCCAAGCCACCCACCGCCTCCCGGCCACGCCGTCAGTCAGGACCAGCAGCACGTGCCTTGGCCAGGCCCCACACGTACGGCCCCAGCCCTACCGACCCCAGGTCCCCCTGCCCGGGACCTCCGGGACCCCCTACCCCAGCCTGCCCTGCCCAGGGACCCCGTCTCCCCGACCCACATCGGATCGGGGCCCCCCGCGGCCCCGCACCGGGAAACCCACCCCGGGCCCCAGCACC